TATTGATATAATAAATATAAGTACAACTTTTTACAAAGAAAAAGTTTTTGTTTCAGTCATTTCTTTTGTTGTTCACACCATCAGCAGTCCATAAAGATATTAAAAGTAAAATTTCCATCAGATTCATTTTTCTAAAGACATTTTAAAATATTAATAATTTGCTTTGAGTTTTAAGTTATTAAATAGAATATTTTGATATATAATATAAAAAAATCCTACTATTAAAAAGATTTATTTAAACTATTTAAGAAAAGGTTCTACAAATCAGGCAAATACATTAAGTTTTGCATCTGCTGACTCTATAGACACAGTTATAAAGATTACTATATGTTATTTTGATTAATATCTGTTTCTATTTTTTTAATTAATCTGTCATTTAGTATTTCAATAATTTACTTAATCTATATTCTTGCATGTTATATTGAAGGGATTTGATATTTCATATTAGCTATGTTGTCTATCCAATAATTTTATAAACATTTTGCAAAACTTTGCTTGAAGATGCTTTGTTCAAAACATTTGAACAAAGCATCTTCCTTAAATGTGAGTTTTGTTTCTTTTCTTTTCTCTGTGTGGGCACTGAGAGGTTCTTTCTCTATAATCATCATTAGTTTGACCAGATTCACAATAGGGCAGCTGGATATTGAAGGATGAGTTCCAACATATCCTGGACAGACCCATCTGTGAAAAATTCCTGGGAGCTTTTACCTGATCAGATTTGATTCCAGGTTCCCAGAGAGATAGGCTTTCACTTTAACCCATCGGCTATGTAGCTGAGGGGATTATGTGTTTAGAGAACTTTTAATCCTCAGATTCATCACTTGAAAAATTACATTTGAAGATAAAGTTTAAAACCTTAAAAAAAATGTTTATATTATATTAGTAAGTATGGTTACTTGTTTTTGAATCATTATATATCTTATGTAATCAGAGTATTTAGTTTTGTTTCATTTTTTTACTTTACTTTTATCAATAACTTTATTAGTTCTGGAATTACCAATGAAACAGAAATGTAGCAATGTTAATAAGTCATTGACATTTTGCTATATATAGTTACAGATAAATGTTGTTAGGAAAAATATACTATTGTAAAAGTAATCAACATTATTCCATTTCATTAATATATTTACAAATGGTAATATGTATAAATATGAAATATTTGTATATATAAAATGTCATACCAGAGGAAGTTTAATTTATTTTTTTCATGGTGTGATTTCAAGTTTACAAAATTGTTACACTTGAGAGCTGTAGCTTTTTGAATATGATAATAATATAAGTGCTTTATAATAGTTAAAATGCTATATTCAGTTCTGTTTTAATCAAATTATTATTATTTTTTTCAGTTGAAATGATTTTTCATCTGTTCTAGTGCAAAAATAGAAACATTTTCATTAACAACTATATACAAATTAAAAACTTATTATCTCAGCTTGATATTTGTTATACAGGCTACAAGCATCCACAACATTGGTAATCCCATTTCTAAAAATCAGATGTTCTATAATAAAATATTAACTAGGAGCTATTTTCTATAATTTTAAATAGGAAAAATTATGTAAACCAACATCTATAAACCTGATGTACTGTACATACATAATATGCCAACAACTACTCAATTATATTGGGCTATTATATTGCGATTATTTTAAAATTAATTACTAAATAATCTGTCAGTAGAGAGGGGCATTAAAAGAAAAGTTACCATCAATAAGACAAAATGCTAATAATTTTTAAGGAGCCAGTTTATTATTTGATAAAACAATTTTTTGAGATTACTCTATCTCATTGTCAGATCCAAACTTAATAAAATTAAAAATCAAATGTAAAAACAAAGACCTACTAGCAGTTAAATAACAAAAACTTTAAAGAGATAACTTTTAAATTTTTTTCTTATTAAACTGGTACCTATCTATGAAAACATTAAATGAGATGTTGTGCAGGATATGCCTGTATTAGTATTTAAGAACTTGTCAGATACTTGCCTAATAAAAATAGCTCATTTGGCAGTTAATTTTGCATTGAGTTTTAATATCAGCAATATTAACAAACTATTGTATGCTACTATTTGTCAGTGACATATTTCTACAGTATTATTCTGAAGAAGATTAGTAAATATGTGTATAGCAACAATAAAGATATTAATACTTAAGGCAAATTTGTGAAAACAAACAATGAATAATATAAGTATATGGCGGATTTGGCCCATAAGCCACAAATAAACAATTTTCTCAGTCATTTTCAAACAATATACAATAAATAAAATTAACTTGAATTTTTATTTCGTTTATCTTATTAATAATAAAATAATATATGTATGCATATATTAAGGTGACCAGATGTCCCACTTTTGGTGGACAGTGCCAATTTTCAACAATTTGTCCTGCATCTGTGGACATCTGATAAATCACAATTTTAAGTGTTGAGACTTTGAAAGCCATATTATGTTTGAAATATAATTTTACAAGTAAAAATAATAAGTTTGATATGGCCAACAATTATTTAATATTGATATAATAAATATAAGTACAACTTTTTACAAAGAAAAAGTTTTTGTTTCAGTCATTTCTTTTGTTGTTCACACCATCAGCAGTCCATAAAAATCACAAATACTCATGGAGACGACCTTCCTTTTTAGGCTACTGCCTTCTAGTTAAAATACAAAAATGATAAAAGCATCATCTGGTGTTCTTGCCACAATCACATAATACATTTTAAGTAAAAATAATAAGTTTGACATGGCCAATGAAGAAGGTCGTCTTCGTGAGTATTTGTGATTTTTATGAACTTCTGATGGTGTGAACAACGAAAGAAATGACTGAAACAAAAAATTTTTTTCTTTGTAAAAAGTTGTACTTATATTTATTATATCAATAATTTTACAAATTCTTGCGAAAACTTTCATGACATTTTAAACGACAGCAATCTATTAAAAAAAAATTCACTCAACTGAGAAATATGTGAAAGAATAAAGAGTTTTTAAAGATTTATAATAGTATATATATTTATGATATATTGTAAATTGTACATATGTTAAAATTTTAAAAAATATAATACAATACAATTTTTGCATTCATTGACAATAAAATTTTGTTGCTCTAGAACAATTCTTTTCAACAAGACAACCACTCTCCCCTGTCAATTTTGTCCCGCTTCACCAATGTTAAAATCTGGTCACCTTAGTATATATGTTTGTATGAGCATAAATATTGTAATAAATAACTTAAAACTACTTAAAAGAAGTTTTTCAATGTATATCAGTTTAGTGATCATAAAAATAATCTTACAAGCCATAGAATGCTAACAAAATTTGACCTGTATGCATCTTACAGATATTTTATTCTGGACATCATTTAAAACCCTTAATATAAATAATGTAAAAAGTAAAGTGTAACATTATTCAGGCCTGTAATTTTCAACAAAGCATAATCATTAATGAAGCTATTTCCATTTTTGCATTAAACAGATAACAAAAAATAATTTCCTACCTTAAAAAGCAATTTAATGGCTACAATATTATCATTTATAATTTTCTAATCCTATTTATGACTAGAAAATTAAAAAGTTAACATTATAATGAAATTAAATTTAGCTTAAACAACACCACTTTACCCGAAAACTGGAACTGTACATGTAGAGAATCACCTAAATGCAAAATTTCCAGCAAAGAAACACCCAAATTCAATATTCAAATGCTTTTGGCCACTACTTTATAACCCCTCTTCAGTTGTTCGAATATTGAATTTGGGTGTTTCTTTGCTGAGAATTTTGCATTTAGGTGTGATTCTCTATATAAATTTGGCTTATTTTTTGCTATTATAATATGCATTATATCAAATTAGTTATCACTTCACGCCGACTTTATAATTATTGTAAAATCACTTACGCGTTGTGGCATTCAGTTTTTTTCTGTTGTTTGGTCACATTAATCAATACTTCATAATTAAATCATCATCCACGATGGAAGCATTTTTTGAGAATATTTTAAATACTTTGGAGGTGAGTAAAAATTCTTTTGTGTTCTCTATTTACCCAATATACTATGTATAGTTTTATAACATGATTTACAAATTTTACTGTATACAATTAAAGATGAAGTAGCTGAGATGGTAAGTGTTGGAACAGTGCATGTGTCTAACTGTCTAACTGAGCAGCTGAGCAGCTGAGCAGCAGTAGTAGCTTAGGATAGACAGATTANCGAAAAAATATACGTATTTTGGAAATGTTGAGTCGGATTAGTGTAGAATCGATTAATTTTATGGAAGAAAACCTTTCAATCAGCCGTAGTCCGTAAACTTGACACGTGTCGGGCTGTGATTGAAACGACTTGTAAGAAATCGGATTCCTAATAAATTGGAACGTATCTATATCTTATAGGGGGGTCGACTGTATCATAGGTTTTACAAATTCTTCTTAGTATTTAATAATTCAAGGGGTCCAAAACAGGCTTTGCCATGATATCTTTTGACATGTATTGTTTTGTATCAATAAATACTATTATTATTATTATTACAAAACACAGGATTATAAGATAACTGGAAAAAATCAGCTATCCGAACTAAGTAGGAACATATGATTCTATTTGTATTGAACATAATTTAATATGAAATAATTTTGTAGAATTATAAATTTTTTCCAGAAAATTGATTTGGACTTTAAGCAATTAAGGGTTTGAATGGCCTCCTGGAATGAATTAAATTCAAACTACAATGCATCACTGTACTGAATTATCACTAATATTATCCATGTATATGAGGAAAAAGTTATTAAAAAATGGAAAAATTATAATATCAAAACCACACACTTATAATGTGTGATTTTGAATCATCCAAACATTTGAATTTATCTTTATGGAGATTTGTAACGAAAACATTTTATTATTAATATTGAATTTATACTTACAATCATTGGAACATTAACTGTAATGATATGATCATCTAAAGAACCATTAGTCCTATCTGGTTGAAAATACCAAGTTTTTACTAATCTATAGGAAACTGTTCCATTGTCATTCCATGTTATATTTTCTTTTGTCCTTTTCTCCCTGTTATTTAAAATAAATTTATTAAATTAATTATAAAATAAATAGAATTGCCTAAATTATTAATATTTATATTGCTTATTTAACCAAATTACTACTTTAAAAATTTCATTTATATTTTCTGTTTGCTTCCATTTATACAAATGTAAATATTCAATTGTCGAATTTTACTGTAAATTTTCTAAAGATAAATTTTAATTTAAAAGAGGTTCATTAAAGGAGATATTTAGGATACTATTACAGGATTAGGATAAAGAAGATTAAAGAATCTTCAGAGATATTTAAGATAACATGTATTTTTAGCTATTGGCATTAGAAATATAATAAGACCTATATACACTTCACTGAACTATTACTAACTTTTAAAAGCACACGTTCATGCTTCAGTGGGCACTAGAATCTATAGTGCCTTCTGAAACATGAATAAGTACTATTCTACAAGATTGGTCACAAAATCCCCAAATATGAGATTGTCTCCTCTGTTAGTTATGTATTTTAAACCTACCAATCTGCTGTATAGAGAAAATGCTGACACCAAATGAAAATCGCTAACATTCATAATAAATTGGATCATACATTCCTCTATGCTTTTATTTCTGGTTATGCTAATGATTATACAATATAGTAGATTTTGCACTTTAGCATTTGTAGATTAATTCACTAAGTGAACATCCATTCATATAAAAGAATAACAACAAAAACAATGTTGTCCTTTTCAATTAAATGTTTATTATATTATAGACAGTGGTTTTACATAAAAATTTAGATCCAATAGAACCTTGCAAAATTTCTATGTAAAACCAATGGAAAACTTTTTGGCAATTGTGTACTTTATTAACCATTATGTTACACATTAATCTTTTGACTTAATAGCATATTATTAAGGGATAACAAACTTGTTAAAGTATACTTTGTTATCCATTTTGATATGTTTTTTATAATTTTGCATTCAACATTTCAATTGTTAATTTTTTAAAAAATCCTCTCCCAAAATATCATGACTCTTTAGTTTTTATTTAATCCCCAAAAGGAAACCATCTCCCCAAGAATCATTATTGGAGAAAACAATTTAAAACAGGGGTGCAGTTGTAAATTAGGAAGTGCCAGGAAGGTAACTGATGTCCTGATTTTGAATTGCCACTGTCTATGGAGGTGCCACCATCTATAGAGTGTTGTAAAGGCAAAGCACAGTTTGGTAGTGCAATATCTGCAAAACAGCTTAAATGTGCCAAAAATAATCTATATATTTGTAATTAGTGAAAAAACTGTGCAAGAAGTAATTTTCTCAGTTTTTTGGCTGAGGTACAATACATAGTCAAAAGTCCAATATAGATATTTACAAAGCTTTGTCCTGCTTAAAAAAATTACAGGGTGCTACCCTGGCATGACAGCAGCACTGTTTTAAAACTTTTATTTTGTACATGTAGACATATAATGAAATCTATATTGAGCATATGAAATTTTCCCTTGTGTCACATGGCACAAAATAGTTTTATAACATCTTTATTATATGAGAGACCTACTATTATTATGCATAGCAGGAGAATAGTTCCAAACTTTTTTAATTGAGTATAATGTAAAATTTTGCCCCTTTATATAATAGTTATTTGTAACTGATCTATATACCCTTATTTTATTGTCTATTTTCATGTTTTTGAAGGGGAAGTTACAAAAGAATCTTTCACTATTCTCCCACCTAGCGTTTAAATTTAAAAGTAAAATAAAAATAAGTATTTGAGTGTCCAGGGGACCTGTTCTGAAGTCTTCTGCTAAGTTAACGAAAGTAATAAACGGGACATTCAATATGTTTTCTTAGTGAAAGGCAGTTAACGAACCTTAGACAAATTGCTATCCTCTGCTCCACATTAAATAGGTTTTGCTATGGGTAATTGGTTGGAATGAGTCTGGGTTCCATGCTATCGATAGCTGTTACACTTTAACCAAGCATATTATAGTTAACATTGTCTTTTTGTCACTTAACTGCAACCTGCTATTTTCCAAGCAAAGCACATTCTTTTAATATCGTCATGTATCAGCATTAGCCAAATCTTTTTTGTGGTAAAATGTCATCAAAGAAGGGATAACACAACCAGCCAACTGCAAGTCGTCAGTTTGAGATATTAGTTAAAATACTTCGGCTCTAGCTTTTCTCATAATTCGTTGCATAAATGTAATAGTAATGACTTCATAAGATGATAAAGTTCTTTAAAGCATGTATCATTCAGCTGAAAAGCATTATCTAAAAGACAAAACCGAGATTCACATTGAATGCTAATTTTTTCTCTCTCCCAATTGCTCGAGAAGTAATATCATCCTTACAACTAAAGGTGCCATGTTCTTTTTATTTTTGTTATGTTCCTAATGGAACCTTGAGAATGATTGATAAGAAAAACTTAGTTATCACACAGAACCAAAAACAAAACATATGGCACAGAATAGCATTTTCACAGTTGATTAAATACCATTCATATGGTTCTGACAGCAATTGGTTTTTATTGTATTCGTTAGTTTAACGATACAACTCAGAATAGGTCCCCAGCTTCCTTAGATTATGTGATTTTAAGAATAGTGATCATTTGTCTGGCCACAGAGTGTCACCAGGACAGGAGTGGGCTAAAATTTGCAAAATATTGGACTACATGATTTGTGGACATTTCCATACACTGGAAGTAATAACTTAATGTGTAGATAAAATACAAAGACAATTATAAAACACAAATCAAATATTACCTATATGAAACTTTCATTTGATAATTATGTTGGAAAAAATTTATTGATTTAAACTATTATATCTGTTAATGCTTTTAATGAGTACAGTAATTGATTTCCACCATAAATTATATAGCAATTTTATCTTTTAATAAGAAAAGAAAAAATATATAATATTTGTTAATTCTAAATAAAGTTTGTAAAATAAAAAAAAAAAAAAAAGGTGTAGGATGTTTCTTTAAGAAACTTAAACTACAATTAAAAATTTAAATAAATTGTGTAAATTAAATCTTCAAATTCAGCCAAATTAAATTTATCTAATTAATTGAGTTTGAAAGACTTAAAAATGTTTACAAAACATAATTTAATCAAATTACTTTAAAAATTACAAAAATTATTAAGTCAAGTTTTAATTAATTAATTAATGAAATTTTATGAGCCAAAATGCCAAATTTTACAAGACTATTTTTTGTTAATTGCAGAAATTAATGTCTTAAAAGTTGAATTTCTTGGATAAAATCACAAAACACACCTTTTTTACTTTTCCGGCAATATCTTTAATCATAGAACAAACATTTTTTACCCTATTTACAGGCTGGTTTCAGGTTAGAAAGTTATTGCTGAAAAAGTATGAAAGATAATTTGTGATTTTATGCAGAAATTAAAAGAGCAAATTTCATCAGAATGAGCAATATTAGCATAATGTAATAACATAAGTATTATTTATTAAATATAAAATATTTTTAATTTTATATGTGTGGTTTGCAACCATAAATATATTAAAAAATTCAGTAAAATTAACACCTCAATTAATATTTCTCTAACAATAAATATGTACTAATAAATGCTTTAATCTGAAGGTGACAATTTAAAAATCATCAAAAATCTTTGTTTTTTTCATTATTTTTAGTAAGTACAATTTGTGCTGATATTTCTGGTATATTTACATGTGATGGACTTAATATTTCTCTTTCTACAGTTCCTTAATACGTTTTCAACATAAAAGTTTTCAGTGTGTGTTATAAAACTTTAAAAGATGAAAGTACATTACATACATTATACAGTATACATTAGAATTGACATCTAAATTGATTTTTGTCAGATTGGAAAACAACAATTCAAAATACATTATTTTTAAATTCCTATTTTTGTCAATATATGAATCATTAATAAGTATAATCATACATTAATATGATCTGAAAAGCAAAACATATTTAAAAACTGATTATTTTTAGTCATAAATAAGCAAGATTAGATAATGGTCCAGATAGAGTAATTTGGTAAATGCATCTGCACAATAAGACTGAGGCCACACTGATTAGACAAAATGGCTTAAGTATTCTTAGAAATAACTAGAACTGATTTATACATATTTACCTGATACTACTAAAGCAAGATAGACAAGAAAGAACTATCACCAGTAGTCTGATTGAGATGATAATATTATTTGTATTATCTCAAAGTGGTCAGTAGAGAGAAGTAAACAAGAGAGAAATATTTGGGTTTATCTGTAACTAATGAAAACTCAGGTAATCTTTACTCTGCCTCACTGCTGAAACTTTCAAATTCCAGAATTGAGGATGCACTTATCCCACTAACCTTATAGCATATATATCACTTAATCATCTAGCAGGATTAGTTGAAAGTTCAATTTGGAAACATATACAAAGTTTGTTAAATTCTTCACATAATTCTTTTATTTCAATGCTCTTTCATATTAAAATTATATAATGTTTTCTAGCTTCAGTTAGAAGAACAAGTTTTTCAGCTTCACATTACATTTTTTTGTAAGCTGGTTTAGACATAATAGATAAAATGTAGGAAGATGATTATTCCCTCTGTTTCAGACAAGTTTAAGATTTAGTGTAAGTTAATCCAAATAATCCTTTATCTTTAATGACCTTAAGACTGAAGAAGAAATATACTTTAAATATACTTTTTTTTGTTTAATCAGTGTAGCCTCATTCTAAGCAAGAAGTTGCAAGTTACTCCTATTCCATGTCTATCTTTTCTTCTAGGATTTTCTAAATTAATTTCAAATTATTAATTGTAACACAAAATGACAGCTTAATTGTCAGCTTTAATTCCAAACTCTATAACTTAATTAATCAGAACTAAGTTTAATTATAGACTGAAAATAGTCTCATTTGTAGATATGTTTGGTTAATAACAGAATAATAATAATAATAATAACAATAGAATTGATACTCCATTTTGCATCAAAAGAAATATAATTTACATAATTTAATCGGGAAGACAATAATTCTCCATGCAACAAATATGTCATAGATAAACTATAACTTTAGCAAGGTATCATTATTAACCATATATAGTTTATCATTAAAATATTAAGTAGGAATACTGTATAATTTAAAGCAATTGTATTGTTAGACTACAGAAAAAATATCCACATAAAAATTAAAGTCAGCATTGAAATAATGATGACACAGAAGTTTAAGTTGTATAAAGTAAATATTTGATTTTATTTTATTTTCAAATTACATAATGTCTAACCTGACCTGTTCATTATAAGCAGTATGTAAATATGAAATTCAAATATAAACTATTTCTAAAATTAAATTTTTTCTTCTCTCATCAAAAAATTGTTTAATAAATAAACTGAAATGTATATTTGACATTGCCACATTTTGAAAGCTTCAAAGTAGGACATAAAGGTCAAAAACAAATAAAATGTATGGTTGCTTATGAAATTTAATAACATTGCAATAAATCTGCACTGTCCATACACTTTTGTTGGTGTATAGACAAATAGTAGCAGACACGTACACAGTATGGCACAGTATAGACCTTTATATGCTTGTATTTTATGACTATATATCAGGGACAGCTAATTCAAATGGTTGTATAGATTATATATTTGCAGTTTTTGAATTTTAAAGTGCTAACTGTAAAAGTAGGACATTTAGGCATATATGTAGGACATGTATGTGCAATTGTAAAGACTTTCTTAGAACAGTCTTACATGAGAAATTCTATCCATACCATACATAGATTTATTTAAAAGAGAATACTTTCACATATATTTTATATAATGTTTATAATGTGTACAATAGGCTGGAAAAAGCTGATAAATTTTATTTATTTAATTCTGCATTGGAGGTTGTGCCATCTTATAAATATTTATGCACTTTATTTTTCTCCACAGGATTCATTTCTCTTCACTTGGGATTCATCCTTTGTTGATGGGTTGGAGAAGACTCAATTGAGGTTCATTTAACTGATTTTCCATCTTAATTGCTGAACAATTAAGATGGAAAATCAGCTCCTGGACCTGTTTTGAAATTAGAATTGGGAAGACCAGAGGTTCCCAAAGTGTGCACTGCAATGCCCTAGGGTGCCACAGCTTCCTCACAAGGGTGCCATGAAATGTTATAAAATTTTTATAATGTTAGAATTTAATGTACTTGTTAGAATTTGACATAGGGTGCTTTGGGAAAATCTGCATTTAGCAAGGGCACCGAGAATCAAAAAGTTTGGGAACCACTGGGGTAGACCATCATTGGCTATAGGTTTAGCCATGATTATTTTTTATTATTGTTTTAAGACTAGAGTTGCCAGAATTCAACTTTAAGAGGCTGATTTATAACAAATTAAAATTAATAAGCACTAATTTTCATAATTTGATATTCCTTAGATGAGTGCTTATTGTATGATTTGGGATTTTCATCTGCTTTTTATGCTTAGTTTCTTGATAAAAGACATTTTTTTAGCCGAATTTCTTCAGTCTTTAAGAAAGAAATATTGGACTCAAAGATAGCCTCTATATGTAGAGTAGAAGTATATTTTCTTGAAAACTTCCCAATCCTCCCTATGAACATATCACAGTTCTGTTATCAAATTTAAATTACACGATCATATTTCCCGATAGACCAGTTAAGTTTTAATAAATTTACTGTTTTTTTTTTAATGGTTGCAGACTTAATATAACAGCCTAATCTAATTGTCCTTTTTGTAACTTTTGTTTTAAAAATGTTAAAAATCATCTGTTTGTATCTTGAATTTATTGAATATTTAGAGGCTGCTTTTTTGTCCATTAACTTTACTATGATTTATTTCCATGATGAAAATTTAAAGTTTATAATGTTATTTAAACATTTGGTAACAAAAAGTTTATAAAAATGTATTATTTATTCAATTTACAGAAATGTTATTCATTGGAAATGTTAAAATAGTTTTATATATATATATTGGAATTAGTAAAGCTATTTTAACAATTATATATATATATATATATATACATATACATTCACATATACACATACATACACACACAAAAAAAAATAAAGCAGAAGCGAAAGAAAACAATTTTTTTTTACATGATGATAACACAATATATACAGGATGACCAACACAATATATACAGACCAACAATATATACAAGGATGACACATATGCCCCCCAAAGTAAACAAAAATTTTTTTTCACATTTTTCATTTAATGACCACGATTCAGGGTGACGTAATCAACCCTGCGCCGTCTGAGGTTATAGGGGATATCCCGTTGATTAGCCACGTCTTCTTGCATTCTATCTGCTTGTGTGTTGCCTGGGGAGCTCAGGGTCTGGGGTGCATGAGGAATTGGTTTACAATGTAAGTAGTATAGAAATGATGCATTCTGGGGTACAAAAATAATTTTCTGATAATAAAAAAAATCTTTCTCTACTACCCCTCAAAACAGTCCCTGAAGTTAAGCTCCCAGCTGCATTTTTTAATTAATCTACTGAAAAGTACCTCTCCGCATTCAATATTTCTGTTTAGAGACTTCTTTTTGTACCGACATCTCATCGCGCACAGAACGTAAGTTTTTTCTTTATCAACGATAATATAATTAATTACTAGATTTAAAAACAATGGACTCTTTTAACTATTTTTTATTTCTTTAAAATCGATGTTACAGATTTTAATTTTCTTTTTCTTCTTCTTCATCGAATTTATTTAATTTTTCCATTATATCATCAACAATATTACTAATATCTTGAAGTATGTAGAATAACAAACTGTNATAATGTTTGTTGTTTTTGTTTTTTACTGTCTTTGTAAAGCTGGAAGCCATATCAAATTAATTATGATTTGATTTAATTAATTAAAATAATAGATTGATCATCACTAATCAGGCATCATTGAGAACTGTAGAGTGATAGGTTAATGATTTTGCCATATCACAGAGTGGTTAGAATACGCTTAACCCAACAACTAGCCACTTCATACCCTGTAAATCAGTACAAGGTGGTTAATAAAGAAAAAAGAAGCATTAAATGAAAATTTTTGTCACATAATGACATACTATTGCATAGAAAAGATAATTAATTATCATACATCTGGCAACTTAAGCACCACAAACAATAGCAGCAACTTAGCAAATTTGAAATTATGTTATCCAAAATTATTGCTGGATTATTGTTGGAACCGCATTATTGATTGATGGATTAGCAATGGTTGACCTGTATCATAAAAAAATATCATAAACTTTATTTGATCTAAAGAAAATTTTTACCTGAATGAAAATGGTCCAACTTCTTCAACAATTGGTTTACTAATATTAGCTTCTACATCTTCAGGATTAGTAATATTAAACAAGTATATTTCCAAATAAATAGGTAATGATGGTTCTTTCCACTGTTCATACATCTCTGACTCTTCAGATAATATTAATCTCTAAAATAAAAATTTAAAAATTTTTCTTGAATTTAATATAACTGCAAAAAATTTTTGTTTTATATAAAAGAAATAAAGAATGTCTTTTTTCACAGTGGTGTGAAAAAACCAGTTTTTAATTTTTTTTTCAATCAAAGTTTTTTTTTATCAGAATTAGTGAATGAATAACCTCATCCATGTATGGTCAACATTAAAAAGTCATGACTTATCCAATTTTAAACCCCATAATCACATAACAAGACAGTTTATTGAAGAGATTGTATGGCTCTGAAATCAGAGGTATAGACACTGAAAAATTCCAATACTTAATGATTGGCCCAGTTGCAGTTTAGTGAATTCCTGCATTTTATTGTATGGATGGAAGTTAAGGTCTTTGTGTAAAATTCTTTTCACACTCTGATCAGACATTTCTTTAAGGGGAACATGCGTAACAGATGAATGTCATGGAAAATTAGTAACAGCCTGTCTTATTGCTTCAATATTCTATGGTGTTCAAATGTTATAAAGTCTACCAGTAAAAGCTGAACCTGTGTCTCTGAATTTTCTAATCCATAACAATGTGGTTTTCCTGTCAGGAACCTTTTCATTTCAATAGAGCCTGAAAATAATTGCTATGTTGCAATGACACAGCCACCATTTTTGAAAAAGGTCTCAATAACAAAAGGAAGAAATAATTAATTTTTCACACCAGATTATTATCAGATAAAAGTTTAAGAGCACTGTCTATCAACATTAATAAGGTTTTGATGTATTTTACTCATCAAAACCTTATTAATGCCAATACAGTGCTCTTAAACTTTTATCAGTAACAAATGCATGATTCTTCCCATTCCATGCCATGATGACAACTGAATGGTATGCTGCTCAAAGACAACTCCATTCTCATAACTTTTTTTTAGTATCTCAGCACATTGTTGACAGTCATGGTTGAAGAAACAAAATAGTAATCATTGCTATTTCTGATTGTATAGTAAAAGTTTCAATAGAATCTATGATGCCTTTCTCATTTACCTTTCAGAACTGGGAGATTATTCTGCCAGACCCTGTATAAAGTTAAAATTGTAAATATCACTATTTTGTAATCAAGAGTGATTTACTAAACACCACATAAAGAATGTAAGACTATCACATGTCAAAAATTTTGAAAAATAAACAAATTCATTAAAAGCATTTAAAATTTCTACTATATTTATTGTTTAAAAATAATTTAATTGTTAAATTACTAGGACAAGTTTTTACTGAGATGTTTTGATTTGAATAAAAATAGATTCTTTCCTTCCTTTCATAAGGATAGAATCAAAATTTAATGACGAAGTTATATTAAAATTATGTTATTAGACTATAATAAGTTTATAGTTATATAAATATTTGTTATATAGTTATTAGTTGGAGGCAGGAAATTCAGACGATAAGAAATTTGATTGCTACACACAAAGCACTAGTTCACGACTCAAAGAATGCTAAATTTTTTTCTATTCAGTTTGAAGTCCTTCATTCTCTTTCAAGTAAATATCTAGAAGAGATCTCAGAAAAGGAAATGTGATTAATTAAGATATGGTCATATAATTCTCTCTTTTCACACTAATGTCTATAAATAAATGGGATCATACTCTTTTATCCCTGCATCACCAAATTCCTATCACTGTTTGCCAGTTTTAGTTGTAAAATTAAAAATTATTTTATTTTTTACATAAATTGTTTTATATCTAGTGAATTATATGCCATTTGCTATTTAAAGAAGAATTGATTTACAGGATTAGTTTAATTAAATATTTTAAGATTTACAAAAAAGGCATTACTTTAGTGCTACAAAAATACAAGAGTCAAGTTTAATAGTGTAGAAAACAGTACAGTACAAATATAAAATAGCGAAGGAAAAGTTTAGTGAAAAATGACAAATTAATTTAATTTAATTAATTGTAAAATAGACTGAAATATAATAAAAATATTGATTAACTTATTCTTTAATAATAGAGAACTAATTGAAATGAGACTATTTTTATCATCAACTTATAAATAGATAATCATATTTAAACAAGTAATAACACATATTAATTAATATTAATATTAAACTATCAGCACTTGTGTACATGAGCTTAAATGAGTTATGTGATCAATAAATTAGTTTCTTTATTAACTTACTTTTTAACAGAATTAAATATAAATAAATGACATTCTAAACAATTTGTATTAACCTTTTGTTTAGAACTTGATGACTATTCAAAACAGTCAAAAACATTTGTTTGACTGTTTTGACAAAAATACATTCTGCTGATTGAAACATTTATTTATTTTACTTGATTAAATCTAGGTATGTCTGCAGTGTTGGGCACTTTTTTGTTTTTCAGTATAAAATAATATATTTTTGATCTTTCAATACTTTAGTACTCAGCTCATTGCTACTTGAACTTATACTATACAAGTTATGCCATTGGCCGAATATTAATATATCATAATAACAACGTTATGGACATTTCTACATATTCATATGAAATAATATTTCTAGATCATCAGATTATCAAAAACAATTCATTAATTGATGACATTAGATATATTGCTATCTAATCATTCTAATTTATAGGACATTAGATATGGTGTTCAGTTTATATAACAGACATGTCTGCTATATTAAATACATAGTGAAGTTTTTCTACTTGGATATTCAGATGACCAAGGAAGTGTCAAAACATAATGGAGACACTTCCTTAGAAAACCCTAGCTGGAAAATGGCTGATAAGCATTGCCATGAAAAGCAACATGAGGATACAGGACTTCTTGAATATATTGCTGTGCCATCAACATCCCTCACACTAGTATAAGGAGTGCCAATTGTCATGCAAGATGGCTCTTCAAACCAGAATACTGGCAATGGAAACTGTTTGTCACTTAAAAGTAATAGTGAGATTGAATCAAGGGCACCCATACATTGGGCACATGCTCCATGCTCCCTTTTTGTCTCAGTTGCCCTTTTCTAATCCCTAAGGTGGCCCCAAACAACAGAAAATTCTTGACTTCTTACCTATTCTACAAATATAAAAGAAACTAATGAATAATATTTGTCCATTGACCTATACAACTTCATTGTATGTTGACCAAAACCCATTCCTTATTTTTAATGCCAAGTTAGCCCCAGGTGCATGCAGCACCACCTTGTGGGAGCACTGATTGATGTTGAATCATGGAGTTTGAAGATCCTTGCATAATGTACAAGGCCCTTTTTTATAGCTTCTGCTGCCCATTTTTTCATAGTCTGGAGGCACCTCTGGATTGAATTGCTCACCAGAGATCCTCCTGGTAAGCAATTCAATCTCACTATTACTTTTGAGTGGCATACTAACATTATTGTCATCCATTACATTGGCATCACTACAAACAAAATTAGCAATGACAGGGTGATTAGTGGTTGCTGTGCATGCAAATTTGCTTCTGCTACTCTCCAGACAATGGTACAGGAAAAGCCAGAATTTTGTACCTGTTCTGGCTAATGGGTATAGGTGCCATTGCAACTGTTTGTGCTTGGTCCAACAATTAGCTCTCCTGTTGGACTATCTGAGACATCCAGGCTTGTCCACTGTATATGTCTGTCTATGCCACCAACACCTCCACAATCAAATCAGAACAGTCAAGATAATAAGCAATTTAAGAAAATGGACATCCTGCTTCCCTTGACCTAATGTGGCCATTCTCAAATTCCATCAGGTGGTGCATAATGTCATTGACTGCATCTTACAGACAATCTTGGCATTTAAACACCTTCAATCAACTGGTACGGTAAAAATTCTGAATGCAGTGATCAAGATTGGCGACAATTGGTCTAAGACATAGCTATATACTGTATTGCAATAATTGGACAATTCTATCTGTGTATGTGATTTTTGTCAATGAGTTCATCTTGAAATGCATTTGTTCTTTTAATAGTGTACTCCTTACTGTTTCAGTTTATTTACATAAATTCAATATCATACAGTATTTATAAAATTCATCATTGATGATGGACTAATACTATTACATATTTTATAGCTTAAATAAAATAACTTCAAACATGATAAAAACAAACCAGTGTTTTGCTTTTATCATGTTTAAAGTTATAATGACCCAATTATGAGGCACTGTGAGTGATTGGGTCCATATTGGGCCAATGTCCAATCACTTATACTGTCTCAAATATACATGAAGATATTCAACATTACATTATAACATCTTGAAATTAACAACTGTCCTCAGATTAGATGAGATAATTTCTAAATATATTTCTCTTATCTTGAATCTCAGATAAAGTCTGTACAGGACAGGTCTGCGTAGTCATGGAGTAAACAGTTTGAGTCAGAAGCAAATTCATTGTAGAGAACTCTGACTCATTTTTCTACTATGTCTTTATATTAAGCTTCTAATAGGAGCATTAACCTCCTATTTTGTATTATATGAGCCTCTTGTAATGCAAGATCTTATTTTATGATGACTCCCCTACTTCATGATCTTTCTTTAGATACCACTAATTACTTTTGATTTTCTTTTTAGAAATTTATATATGAATACATTTTATGTCTGCTCATTCTAAGTTTTGATTGTCAAAAGACTTATATAAAATGGCTAAGTAGATTCGGGTTAAATCTAATGTTTTAGAATACTTTACTAAACCATAAATGAAAAATGTTTTGTATGTAATGTGTAGTTGAAGATGAAAATGATAGTGGTAATGGTGAAAAGATATGTACTTTAAGTTTCAACAGGAATGCCTGATGATTCACCTGAAACACACTGAAAAAATGACTCTATGATTCACTTGGTAGTGATGAAGTACTGTTTAGAGTTAATGTAATCAAAGTATAATTTAAATTATTATTTAGAGACAGAAGTTGGAGATGGACTTTCTAAAATTCTACAAGTCGGGACTCAGTCTACAGACTCCACAGTCCTGGTTGAGGACATCAAAAATCTCAAGTTTTACAAACAAGATTTTAACTTTTATAAAAGACAGCTAAATAACCCAGACAGCAGAAGTATCAGCCTGAAACTCTAATATATCAGATTCAATTCAGGGTCAGATGCTTAAAAATTTTCATTGGTGCACCTAGATGTATTAAACACTTCATTCCTTATCAGCTAGCATTGTTAAACCAATGAAGGTCATACAAAATTCTTATTGCTCGCAGAATGGAAAGAATTTTAATAACAAAATGTACTCAAGATAGAGAGTTTGGCAATTAATAATATACTGTATATATTCAGAGTGGATCCTTCCGCATTTATATACCATTTAGACTCACACAGCAACAACAATTATCTTTTATTCATGGTTTGCATTATGTTATATGTGGTATATTATATAAAACTAAACACTATAGATTTTATATTTTACTCCATTAATGTATTACTATTCATAGTACTGCAGTAGTATTTATGATCTTCAAATAAGTACAGTCATATTGTCCTCAATATAAAAGAACTAGATCATCTTTAGAATGAAGAATTAATGCATTTATTGTGCTTTACTCATAATTTTAAGGATGAATATGACAGAGATTGCTGCATTGTAAAAGGGATAAATAAATATAAATAAAAGCATGATAGACAGATTAAGAATCTTAGATTCAGATATTTTTTAATCCTAAAATATGTTTTATTTTGTGGACAAAACGTGTATGAAGGTTTAAAAAGTCTGAATTTTATTTAATTATCTTAATTCCTAAGAAATGCAGGAGATTAAGAATCTGTCCGTCACGTTTTACAGTAGCGCGTGCGTTTGAAAAAACTATTCACCCCCGAAAATTGCCGAAGTGAATTTTATTTAAACACATGAGACATTCGTTTAAAAAATTATTTTGTGCGTTCGTAATTTGTAAACAAAATGATAAATACGCTCGCGACGCGACGCAATTCGCATCGCGCCCTTAATCAATCGAAATAAAACGGGTCGATTAAATTTGTCAACACGTTGAATTAAGAAATGTTTTGATTTGATAAAAATAATGCACGAACAAAGGAACGAACGAAAAAAAAATAATCGGAAGATTTATTAATATTTAGTTTTCAGCTAAGCGACGCGCCGGGCGCCAAGGGAGAAGCGAAAACGGTAATATTTATAAGAATTTTTACTTAAAAAAATCTCACTGTTAAAATTACATTTTTTTAGATTACTAATAAATTTTTCTATCATTTAATTTTTATATAAAAACAAAACTAAAATTACTATTTAAGAGGTATGTATCAACCACATCGTCGCGTCGCGTCGCATCTCTTACACTGACGCGTGCGTCTTAACAACGCGAATGTAGTTTTAAAATCTAAAACAGTACTTTAACACGAACAAAGTAAATTTAAAAAAAAAAAAAACATTTTATCTAAAGATAATAAAACACATTTATTTATTTAAAAAAAACAATAATAATAATACTTCAAACTGACATCATCATCGTCTTACGTAACATCCGCATCATCTGTCTACATTTAAAAAAAAAAGCGAAAGAGGAGAGTTCCGGGAATTCTATCACATTTATGAATTAAGTTAAGGTTTATTTTCTTTAATGAACATAATTAGATTAAAAAGACTCAAGGACGAATATAGAAAAAATATATATATTCACAATAAAACTATCTCCAGCATCCACAAAGGGCGATAAAAGTCATAATTCTTTGTAGCAGATTTCTCTAACACTCCAAACTTAATTCCTCCTTAATCATGATAGGTCAACAAACGCAACTTTATACTTTTACGTCCCTCTCTAACGTTTCCTCCCTTCTATAAAGTGGACGGATCGCACAATATTATCTTATAATTGTCAATTCAATTTTCACATTCAACAACATTACTGAAGTTATACCAGACAGAAAGTTTTTTTTTTCTATTTATTTATTTTTATTATTATGGAATTAATAATAAATATTACAATATTTTTCAGTTTTTAAATTAAAATATAATAATTTTAGGGGTTAAAAACTGTGTTTAACTGTATACAAAGTCTTTCTGCCTTTCTTAGTCTTGTACTTGACACATGATACCAGTTCTTATCCTCTTAAAATCATTATTATTTTTTTAAATATAAATGCAAATTTTAATATATTTTTTTTTCACAATAATATTAATAAAAATATTAGAAAAATAGAAAAAAAGAATTAATATGTTATCAAAGTCATTAATTTCATACAAGTCTTTCTAGATTGATATCAAAGTTAAATGCAGTTCTAAGCTCCTAAAATAATAATTATTAATTTTTTTATTGTTAAAGTTTTTATTCTTGAAATATTTCCATAATTTTTATATTTGGAACATTATTTTTTATTTATTATTATTAGATATTTGAGAAGCATACCCTCCTACAGATGAAAAATGATCTGTTAGCAACAAGAAATGTAATTTGTATGACTTTTATATTGCTTTAATCATAGTTAACTGTTGTGAACTTAAAATTTAATTAATATATTTAACAAATTTTAGGTAAAAAATAAAATTTAACGGATTTAAATAGATAAAATTTTTAAAAATTACAAGAGGAATTGAATTACATATTGTATTTCAGCAATGGAAAGTTTATCTATCATAATTTAAACTACCGAACAAAGATAAAAATTAGTTTTAAAAATATTTTAACAATTTCATATTCAAATTTTTATATTTTTTCACAATAAAATTAATAAAATGATTAAAAAAACAAGTAATTAACATCTTATCAAAGCAATTTAAAACCATTTCCTTATATCCTTAAACCTTGTGCCAATAGCTAAACCAGATAAAACAATTTTTTAATCTTTAAAAAAGAACATTTAATAAGATTTTCGTCTAATAAAACTCGTAAAAAAGTTTAAAAAAATAATTTTTAAAAAGAAAATCAGAATTATTCATATTCAAATATACAAAAAAAATTATTATTATTAAAGTCATTAAATAATTTTTACAAATTTTTAATATAAAATTCTTTTATATTAAATTTTCAATTTTATTATATTAAAATCTACTTTTTATGTATAATAGAACTATAAAAACTCCTATATTCTATCTACAGAAGTAGACCTTGTATTTCTCAATAGCTGGTACGTGGTGTATATGAGAGCAACTTCCGTAATAAAATACTGTAGTAGAGCTTTGTATGGATAAAATAATCGATCGTAGCATCGATGCTTTTATCTATACAAACTGTATAAATTATATTAAAAAGATTCGAATAAACATCATTTACGATGTATTAAGAACACAATTTATAAGTTAATTAACGCTAGAAATAACAATAATCATTTAACAGTACGGTTTACGGGGGTTACCGTGTTAGGGCCTGGATGATTATTTCTCTCAGTTACATTATTGTTTGCGGTTGTTTTTGAAAAATCTTTTTCCTTTAGGAATCCTCCCATAAAGAAAGTAGCCTCGTGGTTTTAAAGATGGGCAATCAATACTTCTCTCGAATTCGAATACTTTATGGTTTTCTTCGTATACGGCAATGCGATACATGGGCGATCTGCAGAAGGAAAATGCCTCCATGGATTGGATGTTTTTTAAGGGAAATTGGCCCCTGTTTAGGTGTTAAACAAGTGGTTCTGAAGAAGTGCTGTCTATACGTATGGTGTGATATTATAGGTAATACAGTAATAGTATTCGAGGAAGGTATATGCCCATATCTAGTTTAAATTGAGAATATCGGGTTCTAGAAAAGCGTCCTGCAAAAGGTCCAAAACAATATTTTGCTGTAATGCAGCCATGCTGAATACAAGCCTTCTTTTATACGTCACTCTCTGCTATTGTAATTTAAATAAAGATTTCGGCCTAATAAAACTATGTATGGATGATTTCGTGCACCACTGCGTATTGATCACGTAATATAGATCATACCGTAGAAGAATAATATAATATTTAATAATTCCTTCTAATAAAAATCGATAATTTCTGATGTTTTTTTCGAATTTACATAATGTTTAGATTGTAAATTTAGATGGCGATATTACACAATGCCTTATTTCAGATCAACACGATAATGCTATTGATCGAACCTACAGGATGATCACTAGTCGCTGTGTCTTTTGTAATAGGGAGTGCACACAGGTTTTTTGATCACCCTGTATTATAAATCTAACATAAAATTAACCCGACGTTTTTTATAAATGTTGTTTTCACGTGAAACCAAACCAAAATCTCCGTAATTTGATGATAACAATGTCATATATATCTTGCAGAATTTTGTAATTCATATACCGATGGGTTCTTTTATTTAATATTTACGTGAAATATCCGTTTACAAGCAAGCTATTGTTTGGCGCTTTAAGAGGGTGGCGCTATATCGAGTCTAACTCGTAGACGTTTACTTCAATTTGACGTTATTCCAGCAGTTCTTTTTGTATTGACAACCGAACACATTAGTATGTAATGAGAGCGTGTTTATGAATTTCGTTGATAATTTAAAAACCATAATTCATTGAAATATCGATATCCTTCACACGTTCTTATTAACCCTTAACTGGTTTTATGGGGGCCACACGGCCCCCACGCATCATATTTTTATGATTTTTTAAAAAACTAAATATCGTGCGCAGCTGCCATTTTATGTAATCTCATTACGTCGTGACTCTTAGCAAGTGCCAAATGTTTGGCCCTGTAGCACTTACAAGAATGGAGCTACATACCTTCTGGGGGCCGCGCAGCCCCCACGATACCAGTTACGCTGGTTTTTTGTGGAAATGTGTTTTTATGGTTTTTTTATTTTTACAATTATTTTGCAAAGATATTTTAATCTTTCATCAAAAATTCAAAATGACTACCAAAGAATCATTTGAACTGCTAATAGATGATAATATTATACAAATTGCTAGATCAAGCCAAAATCTCCTGAAAAGAGTATGTTGTCATTTTGTGCTGGAAAAAAAGATGGTAAGTATGCTACTAAGTGCAACAGTTGTTTGAAATTTATTTGCAAAGTGCATAGTACTATAAAAATACTATGTGATAACTCTCAAGACTGAACTACGTAATTGCATTAATATGTTCCTGAGTCTTAAAAATAGAAGTGATTATATTACCTGTGGTTTTTTAACAAATGATAGTTAGAGGCTATAAGAGATACTTTTTTATAAGATTACTTTCTTAAGAATAAGAAAAAAAAAATATCTTTGGTAAAAACTTACAATAGGGTAGATTTTTGTTTTGTTAAAAAAAGCATACACCAAAAGTTGTAACAATTTTGTGATCTCTTGTAATAATTAAGTAAAGAAAATTATATAAATAAATAAAAGTTGATTATACTAAAGAAGGGTTCCATTTAGCATTTANTTATATAGTTATTAGTTGGAGGCAGGAAATTCAGACGATAAGAAATTTGATTGCTACACACAAAGCACTAGTTCACGACTCAAAGAATGCTAAATTTTTTTCTATTCAGTTTGAAGTCCTTCATTCTCTTTCAAGTAAATATCTAGAAGAGATCTCAGAAAAGGAAATGTGATTAATTAAGATATGGTCATATAATTCTCTCTTTTCACACTAATGTCTATAAATAAATGGGATCATACTCTTTTATCCCTGCATCACCAAATTCCTATCACTGTTTGCCAGTTTTAGTTGTAAAATTAAAAATTATTTTATTTTTTACATAAATTGTTTTATATCTAGTGAATTATATGCCATTTGCTATTTAAAGAAGAATTGATTTACAGGATTAGTTTAATTAAATATTTTAAGATTTACAAAAAAGGCATTACTTTAGTGCTACAAAAATACAAGAGTCAAGTTTAATAGTGTAGAAAACAGTACAGTACAAATATAAAATAGCGAAGGAAAAGTTTAGTGAAAAATGACAAATTAATTTAATTTAATTAATTAAAATAATAGATTGATCATCACTAATCAGGCATCATTGAGAACTGTAGAGTGATAGGTTAATGATTTTGCCATATCACAGAGTGGTTAGAATACGCTTAACCCAACAACTAGCCACTTCATACCCTGTAAATCAGTACAAGGTGGTTAATAAAGAAAAAAGAAGCATTAAATGAAAATTTTTGTCACATAATGACATACTATTGCATAGAAAAGATAATTAATTATCATACATCTGGCAACTTAAGCACCACAAACAATAGCAGCAACTTAGCAAATTTGAAATTATGTTATCCAAAATTATTGCTGGATTATTGTTGGAACCGCATTATTGATTGATGGATTAGCAATGGTTGACCTGTATCATAAAAAAATATCATAAACTTTATTTGATCTAAAGAAAATTTTTACCTGAATGAAAATGGTCCAACTTCTTCAACAATTGGTTTACTAATATTAGCTTCTACATCTTCAGGATTAGTAATATTAAACAAGTATATTTCCAAATAAATAGGTAATGATGGTTCTTTCCACTGTTCATACATCTCTGACTCTTCAGATAATATTAATCTCTAAAATAAAAATTTAAAAATTTTTCTTGAATTTAATATAACTGCAAAAAATTTTTGTTTTATATAAAAGAAATAAAGAATGTCTTTTTTCACAGTGGTGTGAAAAAACCAGTTTTTAATTTTTTTTTCAATCAAAGTTTTTTTTTATCAGAATTAGTGAATGAATAACCTCATCCATGTATGGTCAACATTAAAAAGTCATGACTTATCCAATT